GGCCTGGCCTAGGGAGGATTTTTAAATTGGGTTTTTTAGAAATTTTAATCACACAACACTAAAATTTTGGTTTTAATTTGGTTTTATTCGGTGGGGTGTGTGGGTCTCTCTTTGTTTTAATAATGTTGTGAGCCGCCCTGAGTCCTTCGGGAGAAGGGCGGGATACAAATTGGAATAATAAATAAAATAAATAAATAAATAAATAAAGTCTCCTGAAGTTTTTACACAAGTGCAAATAGAATTTACAAAACCATTCCTATTAACGTCTAGAAAGTACAAGATTTAGAAAGTACAGCTATCACAGGCCATACAGTATGTAAATAAAGTTCTTGCAGAATGATTTTTTTATATAAAAAACCCCCAATAGCCATATCAAAAGCACAAAAGAGACATTTACCTGGGATTCTTGTTGTTCAGACTTAGTGCAATTTCATTAACGGCATGAGGGTGCGACATGACCATATTGAAGCCATACTAAAATAAAAACAGGTTTCAGCTGTTGCAATGTTTTAAAAAAATGTAAAAAAAAATAGAAAACAACTTTGGGCAATTTAGCATACATTTATAGTGGCACCTCTGCATCAATAAAGACTGGAATTTGTGATCTGTTACCACCTTTAGTATCTTTACTTAGCTTTCTCCTCTCTATACAGAACAAGCAAACTCAATTATTGCTATGGCCAATAAGTAAATATTAAATGATTTATTTTTAAAATGCTGTAGTGCACAGACACAGTAGTCATCACATGTCCCATTCTTTCCTCAAAAAACAAGCAGCTTTCCCCACTATTGCCCTCATGATAGTGATTGTGATAGAGATGGACAGTTGCTTCCTTCTTAACACCAAAAATAGCACTCTATTGAGCACATCTAGTCCGCCTCCACTGCAATAGAAGTGGGGTTTTGTTCCTCAGAACATTTTTGCTCTGAAATGATGTATACAGGTGGTCCTCATTTAACAACACTTGTCCAGCAACTGTTTGAACTTACGACACTGCCGTGTCCCACAGTTTTTTGATTATCATTGGCGGCCATGTTTGCTGGCTTTCCACAAGTAAAGTTAATGGGGAAGCTGGCAGGAGATCGCAAATGGTGACCCCGTAACCCTATGGGTAATGACGGCACAGGATTCACTTAACAACCGTAACTAGATGTGCCGGAATTTCCAACACTAAGCAAACCAATCATGTGAAATTGCACTTTATGGCCACATTGCATAGCTATGGAATTAACGGAGAATTACCTGCATACAGGTAGTCCTCTATTTACAACAGTTCATTTAGTGACTGTTCAAAGTTACAACGGCACTGAAAAAAAGTGACTTATGACCGTTTTTCACACTTGTGATCACTGCGGCATCCCCATGGTCGGGGTAGGCAATCTTGGCTCTTTTATGACTCGTGGACTTCAACTCCCAGAATTCCTGAGCCAGCCATGCTGAGGGGAAAGGGAGAGGTTTTCAAGCTGAGCCATGCTGGCTCAGGAATTCTGGGAGTTGAAGTCCACGAGTCATAAAAGAGCCAAGGTTACCTACCCCTGCCCATGGTCATGTAATCAAAATTCAGCCACTTGGCAACTGACTCAGATTTATGATGGCTGCAATGTCTCGGAGTCACAAGATCCCCTTTTGAGACCTTCTGACAAGCAAAGTCAATGAGGAAGCCAGATTCCCTTAACAACTGTGGCAAGAAAGGTTATAAAATGGGGGAAAACTCAGTCATGGTTGTTAGTCAAGGACTACCTGTGTATATTTTTTCATGTGTCATAGAAGTTCCTATTTTAAAGAGATTTTTTTTTCCTTGACTGAGAGAAGAAAACCTCATTATGGCCGTGTTTCAGAATCTTCACCCACCCAAAAATTTCTAAAATTCAGCTACCTGATAATTCATGATGGCACGCAAACACATGATGCAGACATGAACATCGTCCTTTTTACTCACTAATCTTGAATTTTTAAGAGTTCTTCTGCTGGGTAAGGTGTTATACCTATCAACAAAAAATAATTAGGTCAGCTACTGGGTTTTAATCTTTTTTTTTAAAAAAACAACAACAATCAGATTTTTTTTAAAGCTCTATAATCATCTGGGAACTTTTGCAAATAACCTCCTAATTAAGGACAATGCTGATAATCAGTTTTCATAATAACCAATAGTGTTAATTACATTGTTCTTCCATTCACTTTCAATTGCTGAAAAATGCATTCCTCAGCAAAGTAAGCTTTCTATGAGAGGACACTGCAGTGGAAGGTCTTTTGCAATAACCATAACTGCGATATATTATTTTATTACAGATGAAGAGTTGTAAGGGTTTTGAGATTAGCACTGAGATGCTAGAATATAATAATTCCCAGTTTTCCATTTCCTTGAAAGTTTTGCCCACCACTACCTTTTTGAGATTAAGGAAGATTTCTTTGCAAAAGGAAATTGAGTTCAGAAAGGCATGAACTTATTTACTTTTTACTTTACTTTTAACACGGTGTCTGTCAGATCTTGGCATTGCCAGTGTGCACTATCTACATAATTAATCACTGTTGTGCTGCTTAATATCCATCAAAACCACGTGTTTGTTCAGAGTACCTTTATCCTTCAACTATATACGGCTGAACAAGCCAGAATTGTTTTATTACTTGCTATTTTTAATTGGTTATTAGTCTTCTTGAGTCACATGGGTGGCCATATAAATAAATAAATAAGCAAATAAAACACTTCCTTATTTTACATCCATCTATTCTGTGACACTGCCAACCTTATTTGATTATCAAAAAAGATAAGCAGGGGGAAGGGAGATCACTAGGAAATTTGAAAGCTAGACAAGGAAGTTGAAAAAGAAATTTCTGGAAGAAGACGGTATCTATCCACATTTGTGTTGTCCACTAAGACATTAATAGTTGAAATGACAAAAATAACTTTCTACATTAAAAAATGAACCTAATGCAGAATTTAACTCTAATTGGAAACTATTCTTAGCTCCTAATGTTATATAAAGATTTATGACCCAAACCAAACTTTGAGTTTCTTATCTACAGAATTACTGTATCTACACTTATTGATCTAATTTACTGCTTACTGATGTTTGTTAGTAATTTATACTGTGCTAACCAAATTAGTTCAGTTTAAAATTTAATGGGGATAGTTATTATCTTTTTTATGTTCTGTATTTTTTTAGTACCTTCGGTATCTTTTCATTTTATTTATACTTCTGACATATTAAATAAAAATAATTTTAAAATGGGGGGGGGGAATCAAGAATTGAGCGAAACTTTTTTTACTGCTGTGTCCATGACTCATCCAGGATTTATCTTCTCCATATCATCCACGTTCCCATAATAACAGACATAAGGCCGTGTGCCTCATGATGAGACTATTACAGCAGACATTTCAGTCTCTTTAAAATACTCCTTCATAAGTTATATTTTAAATGCATAATGCTAAGCAAGTTTCAGAAAATGTTTCAAAGCACTCTTTTTATTCTGTTGTCTTCCAAATGCAGTTTCTCGGGAGGAATTCATTCCCAGAGATTCCAAAGTAGTGCTAGCTGGGGAATTCTGGGAGTTGAAGTCCACACATTTTGAAGTTGCCAAATCTGGAAAACATTGGGTTAGATTAGAAGCTCAACTGCATGCACGGGCTGCACCGCCCTCTCCTTCAGACACTCCTTTGGGTCAACGCCTAATTCTCCAACGGGTTCCATCTGCTAATTGATTTCCCATTCATGGAAAACACGCTTTGTGTGGGAGAGAGCCCTGTTTTTCCAAGCCAACCTCTGACCTAATTCCAGCACAATGGAGCTCATTACATCCCAAGCTATTAGTAAAACATACTTCTATTAGCAGGTTTATCACCAGTGTCAAACAATGTGGTACTATTCGACCTTGCCAAACAAAAGCTAATTATTCCAAAATGGGTTTAGCTTTCATATTTCACACCAAAGATAAATATTAGCTATTACATTAAACTCATCTAATGTAGGTCAGATGATCAGGAAGCAAGTCTTATGAAAAACTACAAAGCCAAGGCGTACTGGCATGGATAGAATGAGCAATGTCTCAACCTCTAGACTGAAATCTTTTAAGTATAAGGAGACTATTAATGAATACATAAAATTATCCCAATCCTGCAAATTTCCATTGGCAGCCACTATCATGCAATCTCAAGAATCAGCCCAAATATCAGAGCCTTTGGGCTCAAAGGATCTGCTCGTAAGCACTTTATTCTAGCCTTTCCAACTCAGCGGTTGCCATAATCCAGCAGATGACAAAGCAGTTCGTGTCCTTTACACTTGGTTGAACACCGAATTAAAAAAAAATGCAGAAAACTAAATTTAAAGCCCATTTCCAGAACTGTTTGGAGAACTGCAATTGACATGGGCATTGGAATTACCCTGGCAGTTTTACAGCAAGAGAGTCACTGTTTCCTTCGAATGACATCTCTGCCTGCAATGCTAATAAATAAATTTAAAAAAAAAAAATCAGAGCACTGTGTGTTAGCTGTGACTTAAATTTGCAGTAAACAGAAACTGCAAGCAATTGGGATCTCCTTTTGTCCTAAAATAAATGAGACTGTATTCTCTTCACTGAACATCCATTAAAGTGAGAAAAACAGATCCTGAAGAATATATCTTATATCTGAGATACACAAATATGCTGTGCATCTTAGAACAATACAACCCAGCACTATGGAAAAATAAACCAATTCCAACTCTAATGTGGATCATCTAAATCGGGTTATACTTTACTTTGCAAAAACATGCACGCAGGTATTTGAAATATTCAACGTTTTTCATGAGTTGCCCTATCTACATGCTGCTTTAAATGGAACCGGGAGCAATTAAAAATAGGAACAATGATGGATAAGGCCGGATAAAAATCAGATAGATAGATAGATAGATAGATAGATAGATAGATAGATAGATAGATAGATAGATAGATAGATAGATAGATAGATAGATAGATAGATAGATAGATAGATAGATAGACGGACAAATAAAATAATAAAATATTAAAACAAAATAATATAAAATAAAAATTTGAAAGTAAAAATAAAAATTAGAACTGTGTGGACTGTAAGCTGAAGAAATGCCAGAGGCAGCTAGGTGAAGAGTGACTCTGGAAGCACTTGAAGTTGTACAGGACAATGAATTGTTTGGATGGCATGTGGCTGGATCAGTGTGATGGAGAAAGGGATCCCAATGGAGTGGGGACTGCTTAAATAAATAGATAAATAGATATGACATGAGAAAAAAAAGAAAAGAAAAAACAGTGAACCTGAGAAAGAATGAGAAAGTAATAGGAACTGAAACTAATATTGAAGACAATGTTTTCAGAAAGAAGATACAAAAAGAATGAATTTAGATACTATGAAGTTCTGCATCTGAATTTTGCATTTCAGCAACAAATACAGACTCACAAATATTGAAAACATGTGTTGGCCATACAACAACGGATTTATTGCTTTTTAAAAATGTTTCCTAAAAAGGCAACATTCCAAAACCATCAAGTAGATTTCCTAAGAATTATTAAATATCCTAATAGGTAGTTTAACCCCACAGAGCAAACTGTTAAAATGATTTAGTCCAGCAGCCCCCAACCTTTTGGGCACCAGGGACCGGTTCCATGGAGAAAGGTTTCTCCGCAGACCAGAGGGGGCGTGGTTTTGTGTACTGTCTGCATCATGCAGATGGAGCTTCGCTTGTTTGCATGGCCCGGTTGCTGGCATGCCACGGACCGGTGCCAGTCCATGGACCAGGGGTTGGGGACCCTGGTTTATTCAATCAGAAATGTTAAGCTATTCTTTCAATAATGCCGCCTTCTTTTCCAAATTATTCATTCAAATCTATAGCTAGTAACTTAACCTGTATCTTTTTACACCTTCATTTTAAATGAACACACTTCTATAGACATCTGCTTTAAGCCCATTGATATATCCCGACCATCTGTAATTTACATATAAAGAAAAATAACAGAATTACTTTATTTTTATACTGCTACTACACATTCTCATTTACTCTTGGAAGTTTGTAAGATACAGGGTGGGGACAGTGAACTTGAAATAATGTGACATTATTTCATATCGGTGTGTGCGTATGTGTATAAGTGTGCATGTACACTTATGCCAGGGGTCTTCAAACTTGGCCCTTTTATGACTTGTGGACTTCAACTCCCAAAATTCCTCAGCCAGCGTGGCACGCTGGCTGAGGAATTCTGGGAGTTCAAGTCCACAAGTCACAAAAGGGCCAAGTTTGAAGACCCCTGACATACACCCACATGCACACATCTTTATGTCAATGTTGATTTCTGGCAGCTGCCTGGACAAATCCCTTCAGCTTACTTGGCAAGATTTTTGGGAAGTGACTTCCATGGCCTGCTTCCTACGGCTGAGAGAGAGGGGGTCATCCAAGGTTACCCAGATGGCTTTGTGCCTATGATGGGACTGGACTCTCACAGTCTCCTGGTTTCTAACCAGATGCAATGCCTCTACCAAATTAAAACATTGCTGAGCTTGGGCATCAAGTTCCAAATCAACCTTGAAAAGCTGCAACCACTATTTAAAAAATCCAACTAATCAGAAGCAGTTGTTTGTGTAGACCAGCATCTTCACACTGTTTTGACTGCATGTAAATATCCGCACAATGTCAGGAAGTGCTTCCAAGCAAACATACACATATTGATAAACAGGATAGGCCACAATTAGCACAATGACCTTTCACGTGAGTCAAGCAAAAGTCAGGTTAGCTGCAGGACCGCATTTATCAGAATTTCATAAATGTATTACCAAAAGAGTGCTATAAATACAATTAGGGCAAAATGTAGCAGCAAACCTGTTGGCGGGAAGCAGCCACTTCTTACATATAATACTGGCACTTTTATACAGTAATTTAGCAAGAATCCATGGGGCTGAAGGCATAAATGTTAAATAATAAATAGATGAACTTTTTTTAATGGTCTAATAGGAACTCGAAGTGGTGTGACTGATGACATCATGAATCACTGAAAGAACGGGTGAAGCCAAAACCTAATAGCCAGGCCCTGGCTATTGGGAGAGGATTGTGGGAGCCACAAAAGGATCATTGTCTACCCCCACTTTGAGGAACAATAATGACAGGACCCGCAGAGGAGGCATTTGTGAGTCCCATCAGCCTGATTATTACAGCTGAAGGGGTCCAGGAAGTGGGCTTTCTCTGTTGTTGCTCCTGCCTGCTGGAAAATTTTGCGCCCCCCCCCAATGTGAGGTTGGCCCCAACCCTCCTATCTCTTCGTAAGGGCCTAAAGACGTGGCCCTTATGTCTTTAGATGGGGGGACAGTGCAATGGTGATGGTTGATTGAGTAATAACAGATCCCCCCTCCCACTCTGCCTCTGCCATTCCCAGGTGACTTTGGTTTCTAATGTTTGATTTTAACTTTTTTGTTTTAATTTAGATGTAACTGTAAGCCCCCCAGAATTACCCTATGGTAAAATGGGCGGCCAATAAATTTCATAAATAAGTAATAAATCAATCAAATGCTGCTACAATCATGTACTGATCAAGAATTACTACCTCATATGATAGCTGCAGGACTATGAGTAGCAATGAACCTTTCAAGATGAACTCAGTTCTAGTGAATTTCCTATGTGTAAAATTACTGAATAGGATGTTCCTTCTCTAGTATTGAAGCTGCAATCCCATAAGGACTTGTATCAGACTAATTTTTAATGAGATCATTAAAACACATGCATGGGTTTGTGAACACGTGCATGGGTTTGTGTTCAGAACTGCAGACTTACAACGTATTTATACAGAATCATGGACCAGGCCTGCCTTCAAAAAAAACTGAAGCAAATTTCTATGAGGAGCCAGTTTGGTGCAATTGTTAAAATGCCTGTTTTTAAAGTTCTCATTTAAACGAGAACTTTAAAAAAGAGGATCTATGACAAGGTGATTAAGATGATTTATTAGAAAAGAAGATTTATATTAATGTGGTTGTTACTTGTGGAAATACTAGAAAAATGTTTATGTTCAATTGTTATCTGCTAAAATTACTAAGAAATGTACCAATTTTAAGGTTGACAAAAGAGAATATTATCGGAAGAAGAAAAAATGAAGGAAAGCTATTATGTGGAGCATGGAATTATAGAAATTGATTGCTATTGTTTGTAAATATAAACCCAGACAACATGCTATTTGCCACATATTGATGATTATGTCAAAAAAATTAATAAAATATATTACAAAATAAATAAATAAATAAATAAAACACCTGGCTAGAAACTGGAAGACCATGAGGTCTAGTCCCTTCTTAAGCACAGAGCCAGCCTGGTCACTTTGGGCTAGTTGCTCTGTATCAGGCAGGCAAGGAGAAATTCTCTGGCCATTGTTCTGCCCAATCAACTAAGATGGTGTAGTGCAGGGATAGGCAACCTTAGCTCTTTTATGACTCGTGGACTTCAACTCCTAGAATTCCTGAGCCAACTTGGCTGGCTCAGGAATTCTGGGAGTTGAAGTCCACGAGTCATAAAAGAGCCAAGGTTGCCTACCCCTAGTGTAGTGTAAAGGCGAACAACTTTCTTGCAGGTGGAGAACATTTTGATCAGTTTGGCAACAGGTTGTACTGACCGGTGATATCAAGACATCATCAAGATGGGAAGCGCTAAAGTTGGCCAATTAAGGGGAGAAATGTAAAGGTTTGAAAAACCTACTTTGTCTTTCAAATTCTAGCCCAAAATCAATTCCTCCTCAATTCTATATCTTCATCTTACCTTAGAGTAGAATGCCTGCTGGAACAGGAAATGCTATTGCCAATTGGAGAAGGTAAGTTACTTCCTCGGTGGAGATCTTCAATAGATCGACTCCATGGCTTGGATTTGTCCACTGAATTTTCCATATTATTTTCCAAGCTTTCGAAGTCAAATCTGAAAAGAAATAAACACTTCATATGCCAATGAGAAGGAGGACACTGCATTTTTTTTCCCGGCTGCAGAATTCAGAAATGTCCCAATAGATTACAACAATAGAGAACCATGTAAATACATTTTCCTTTGGGCTGAAACACAGGGCTGCCTTCTTATATATTTCACAATAAATTTGGATCTGGAAACGGGGGGAAAACAAAAGGCTGTCACAAAGAAAGGAGGAATAAGTCAGATAACTTTGCAGAGGCTCTCCCTAATTTCAATTTTGCTTAATTTCCTGGAAGACAAAAACAACCTTTCTGTACTATAGAAGAGATGAAATGTCAAGAATGCCTTTTGTTTAAAGATAAATAAATAAAATATGTATTCTAATTACTTTCAACTGCCAATATGCAATGGAAATATTTCTTCCAATATGTTAGCCAAGGCCAAATTCCAAACATATGTAATACGTTACTCGAATCATGACAAATCTTCTTTTGTTTGGTTTATTTCTCAAACCTTGTCTAATGTATTGCTGGTTGAAAGGAGACTCGTGCCATCCTCTTCCACAGACTTTGAGGCTATTTCTCAAACTTAGTACCGTGAGGAAGAATGGACGGCAAGAAAAGCTACTTGTTTTTATCTACGTAAGGCCAGTTCACACAGAGCCTTACGTCATAATATGATTTGCTGGTTTTTCATTTGATACGATGTGCAAAAACTCGTCTGCATGATTTGTAAACCATGGCTTCCTTTTGCAGACAGATTCACACATCACATCAAAGGATCCCAAACAAACCACACTATTGTTTAGCTTTTTGTGAGAAGGCAGCTGTTGTTTTTAAAGTCAATTGTTTTTCTGCCATGTGCCATTCTTTTTACCTCGTTTACTCCTTTAGCACAGTTTAGGTCAGGGGTGTCAAACTGCCGGCCCGTGGGCCGGATGCGTCACGCAGACGCTGGCAATGGCAAAACTGTCCCAATACGTTGCGTGATGTCACATGACGTCATGAGCTTGACATGTCTGGTTTAGGTCCTTTTTTAATCCAGCAATAAAAGAACTTTTTTTTTAGGTTTCCACACTAAAAATAACTTCATACTTTTTTGTATCTCGGAACAGTTTGATCATGATTGAGAAGACATGCAAGTGAAGCAGAAGCTTCTCGTTCTACACGTGCTCCTTCCCTCTCACTGTAGGGAAGGCAAGGGGGTTCTGAAGTCACCTTCTATCAGGTGGAGCTTCATTCTGAAGTCCAAGTCACTTTCCATCAGTGGGATGGCAAAGCTGAGGGACTTCTTATGGGGAGCTTATGGGCAGTCTTCCTGCTTCCTCTCACTGGTGACTCTGAGGACTAATTCAAGTATTAAGAAGAAGCAGGGAAAGGGGGAAAAAAGCATGACCATTGTGGGCTTCTCTTTCTGTGGCAGCATGCCGTGTGGAAATTACCAGTTTTGTCCACGTTAACCCCTGGACCTCAACACAGCAAGATATGAAATCTCCTTCTACAAATTGGAGCAGACAAACATCAGCTCAGTTGTAGATCATACACTTTTTAAGCAGAAAGTCCTACATTTTATTCCTGGCATCTTCAGTTAAAGGGAACTCAGAAAGGAGAAGATGGACTTCAGGAAACTTAATAGAAGCCACTTGGAATAAGGCAACTGCCTGTATGCCTCACCAGCAATCCTCTATGCTTTTGTGTTGTTTTTTTTATTGCTGCATGTATATTTGAGTTGACTTTCATTGCACATCTGAAGACTTGGCTATGGGCACAGTAGATCTCAGCACATAATAACTATTTATCATGGCTTCCCAACGTTTCCAGAACTGACACTACCATTTATTGTCCCTGAACTAAACAATGCAATTGGCATAACAGAGAACGGAGACTTTATGACAGCCATCTTAGAAAGAGAGACGTATAATTATTTGAATAACAGGGTTTTTCTCCAACTGTGTTCACAGTTTACTGCAACAGGATGCACTAATAATATCTTTCTCCTTCTGCCCAGATTGTGAATGTGTGGATCGTATTATACTTACGTGACTGCATACTGTGCAAAAGACAAATACTCCACCAAAACATCTAGGCCTTTGTTGTCTTCATTCAAAAATTCCCTGACCCACCTGGAAAAACAATCATCAAAAGAGAGCATCATATTTATATCTGTATGTAAACCAAATATTACAGGATCCAAAAAGGTATCCATTTCTTACTCAGAAACTTGAGAAAGATAAAAGACTGAGAATCATATTTTCAGAGCAAACTTCAGGGTTACCTTCAGTGTGACTGTTTTATGCAGAGTTTGGAAATATTATTAGAGGTCAGCAAACTGGTTAATTATTATGATGAGTAATCTGCAGTTAAATGCTTAAGACTGGTGAAAACTTAATAACACCCAAGTTCTAACCAAGGACCTAAGAATTATTAAGATAGCATCTAAGGATATATATGGGCAGTTCCAAGGTGGCATTTTATAAAATTAGGATGTTCATTATTATGGTTCATCACACAGTCAGTCAAATGTTCAGATTGGATTTGGCATTGTTATCTACCTATCAAGTCCTTCCTAAAGACCTGGGAAAGGCAGATGTCGGTGTTTGATAGTGTTAAAGATCATCACAAGATGTAAGATGTTCTGAGTAAAGCTGCCTTTTGCAATTGACTGATGGTGATTTTGTCAATCCCAGTGGTGTTCAAGTGGTGCTTCAGTTATTTTGGGATTGCACCCAAGGTGCCTATGACTATTGGTACTTTGCTTCCTTTTGCCACAGAAATTTCTATTTTGCAAGGCTTTGTATTTTATTATCTTCTCCAGTTCTCTCTCTTCTACTCTGAAGTTTCCAAGTACTGCCACAACCACTATCCAGACTTTTTTGTCACTCTTATCAACGGTATCTCGGGTGTTATGTGGCAGGTGCCTGTCTGTTGAATTCTGAAGTCCCGGAGCACTTTAGCTTCATTTTTTTCAATTTTTCATGCATCAAAGCAGCACATATAGATGGAACAAAGCAATTCAAGTTAATGTACTCAATCAATTGAACTATGCCAGAATAAAACCAGACGGATTTTGTATTTTCAAAAACATTTTTGCAGGGGGAATCGGACCCAAACAAATAAACATCAATGTAGTCCATTCTATCATTCAACTATTTAACAGAATCAAATTCTGAGTATTCTATATGGATTCCAACTGAATTATGCCAACTGGCTTTCAACTTGATGGCCAACCTTTTGAAGATGACCAGATCAGAAAACAGACTACACCAGAAGATTAGCGCTATACTTTATTGAGTAAGGCTATAACAGAAGATGGAGGCACAATGGCTCAGTGGTTAAAGATGCTGAACTTATCAGCTGTGGAAGCTGACAGCCTGAGTTCGAGCCACGAGCACCATGTGATAAGGGTGAGTTCCTGTTCCTGCCTCCTCCCCATCTAACAGTTCAAAAGCATGCAAAAGCAAAGATTAATAGGTACCACTTCGGTGGGAAGGAAACAGCATTCTTTGCACCTTTGGCATATAGCCATGCTAGCCACATGACCATGGAAATTACCTTCAAACAACGCTGGCTCCCTTGACCAAGAACAGGGGAAACCTTTACCTTTATCTTTATAACAGAATACTGCCAATCTGTTCCCCTTCTTCTTATAGTTAGGGAGGAGCAAGACTGAGGCTCTTCCCATTTTTTTCCTATTACCCCAGGCTCAAAACATGTTTTTGTGCAATTTGGTTGCTTGTAACAGTTACTTTCTCAAAGTCATTTCCATGGCTCACCATACCAACATAACTAAATACCTACTTAAGATCTCCAAATAGTATTTGTTTTACCAATAAAACAATCTTTCCTGCAACAGCTCACCAGCCTTGAAAAGAAATCTTCCATATAGGATCAGAAAAAACAGCATTAATCTTGAAGAAGAAACATATCTTGGCCTACTAACAGTGAACTACAAAGTCCTTGATTAAGGGAATGGTTCACACCATTTAGATTTTTTTTATTATACAAGTCATACAGCCATTTCTCATCTGCTGGCATACTATGGTTTATGCAATGCCAATGAAAGATCTAGAACTGAAACATACAAAAACTGTTCAGCTAATCTTGCTCATCATTCAAAGTATCAATGAAGTGCAAAAACAAAAGGAAATGGAATGCTCTTCTATCTTAATTTTAAAGAAAATCATGAAGAACATCATGAAATAAATAACATGTGAGAAAGATTTCACTATGTATAGGAAGTCATAATATTTTCTCTCCAGTAAGTTATGTGCAAAAGCACTATAAGTAACATGCAATTACTTTGCTCAGCTAACAGTTACATTTAAACCTTTTCCTAAGCAGACACGTCTGATGTCTAAATCCTAATGAATCTGGCAGGTGTAATCTCTAATAAGAAGTCACAGCTAATAATTGCCATCACATTACAATGCCTGGTGTTTTGAAAGAGTCAGCAGTTTAGAAAAAATAAAATAAAAGGAAAGGAGAAAGATTGACTGCTGTAAAGTATTTGGCTTAGCAAATACTGCTGAAATCTGGAATTTAATTGATGGCAAAACTGTTGCAATTGCTTACAGATTTCCCCGGTTTCTTATCTCCAAAATAATATCTAAATCTTCACTTACTGCCAATTATCTCTTGGAAATGTTGGCCTAGCATTGGTATTTCATGTTCAATTTAACTTCATTAAAAAGATGGAAGGGGAGGAAGGAGGCAGAACCAGAACCTTTAAACAAAAGCAGTTTCTGAGATTTACTTAGGAAGATGGTAAAGTACAATTTGTTTTGAAGCAACCCTGCATTTGTTGAAATTGCTTTTTCCCCTTAATCTTCCTTCTCCAGAGACGTACAATGCTTCTGTAAAACCAAGGTATCTCCCTAAACCAGGGCTTTTTTTTTTTTTTCAAATATAAATTTTTTATTGTTTTCAACATAAAAAAAAACACATCACAGATACATCACAATTGAAAAAACCCCTACCCCCCACCCCCCACCCGGACTTCCCAAACCTAATCCCAGGATACTATTCAACTAAAAGTAAACTAATATTAATATCCCTAACTCCACAAAGTGTTATTCTACAAAAGTAGGTGAAATATATATATATAAAAAAAATTTTTTATCTAAAAACCTAACTTATATTCCACCATTCTATGCTTATTTTGAATATAAACAATCCATCTTCTCCATATTGATAAAAATTGTTCATTTGAATGATCCTTCAAATAAGCCGAAATCTTTGCCATTTCAGCAAGATGCGAAACCTTCAATCTCCAGTCCTCCCTAAACCAGGGCTTTTCAACCAGTGGTACGGGTACCACCTGTGGTACATTGGCACCCGGCAGGTGATACGTGACCATCCTAGAAAAATGATAGCGGGGGAGGGGAATGAGCTGAACCGGTGGCAGCACCGCACAAGCGTGAGTGAGAGATGGCTGGAGCTGCAGGGCTGTCAGGGCTCAGCGGAAGCGCCAGGATCAGTGCTGCTTTCCAGCTGATCAGCGCTTCTTCGGGGCTGTCAGGGCTCAGTGGAAGCGCCAGGCTCAGTGCCAGGCTCCAGCTGGAACTCGGCGCTGATCCTGGTGCTTCTGCTGAGCCCTGAAGAAGCACCAATCAGCTGGAAAGCAGTACTGATCCTGGCACTTCTGCTGAGCCAAGAAGCGCCGATCAGCTGGAATGTTGCAGCATCTCCAGGGTCTTGTGATTTACATTCAGATGCTTGGCAACTGATTCATATTTATGACGGTCACAGTGTCCCAGGGTCAGGTGAAGTGACCAAAACCTGTTGCAACCACCCAGCAGACGGGGGGAATAAAAACCAAATACCCCCCTCAGACAGGAGGAAGAGTGCCGCCGGGTGGGCAGGTAGGTGTCTTGCTTGGCCGTGACTTGGGGGGCACTTTTTTCAGTGCCATTGTAACTTCCAACAGTCACTAAGCAAGCTGTTGTAAGTCGAGGACTATTTGTACTTTATCACTTTTTTTTTGGTCATCAAGTTTTTGACACCTTGCTAGGCGACTGGTGGTACTCGGATATTGCCATATCCTAAAAGTGGTACAATGGGTGAAAATGTTGAAAAGCCCTGCCCTAAACCACAGTGCCTTGGGGACAAACCTGTTCTATTCAATGGATGTCACTTTTCAAGCTGAACTCAAATGAACTCTAGAGCTTCTTGGAAGTCAACCCCAGGATTCTTTATGCAGTCCCATGATCGGCTTCAAAGAATTTCTAGAGTTCCTTTGAATAATAACAGTGACAATAGCTTAAATTTGTGTTGGTTATGCCCCGAATCATTTCCCCAAATACCATTACTTTTTTAAAAAAAAAAAACCTTACCCAATGTGATTAGTCCTTAAAGAAATTTCTAGTTCCCGTAAAACTTGTGTAGATTCTTGAACTCTTCTCCTAAATTTCTAGAATTTACAAGAAAGAAAGAAAAATATTCATATACTGTATAAATGAACGAGGAATGAAATCATATAGCCTAACCCTTATGTAACCTAACCCCCTTTTTTAATGAAATAAATCTGGTGCCCTTCAAGATAGCCTGGAAGAAACTGCTGGTCGTGTCTCAATTCCATGGGGCAGACTATAGTGTTTGTTTGTTTATTACGGGACTTTAACCATCAAAAGCTTCCTCTTGAAGTCAGCCTTCCAGAAGGCAGGAACCAAACTCTTCTGGAAGGGCCGGGGTGAATTATTGTTTGCCACTGGCTGTTTGTCCTACTATTATATAGGTAGCCCGCAACTTATGGCCACTATTGAGCCCAACCTTTCCACAGCTAAGCCAGGCAGTTGTTAAGTGAGTTTTGCCTCCTTTATGAACTTTTTGCCACATTGGTTAAGCGAATTACTGCAGTTGTTAAGTGAATCATGCAATCATTACGCAAGTCTGGCTTCCCCCATTGACTTTGCTTGAGGAAAGGAAGGCAGCTGAGAAGGTGACAAAGGATGATCACACGATCCCAGGACAGCCAGCTGCTAAGGACCCAAATTTTGATCAGGTGACCATGGAGATGTTGCAATGATCATAAGTGTGAGAAACGGTCAAAAGTCACTTTTTTCAGAACCGTTGTAACTTCAAATGGTCACTAAACGAATGGTTGTGCAGACCACCTGTGTTGTCATTGGTACTATAATTATTGATGTTGTTGCTGTTTATTTTTGAATATTTGGCACTTACTAAAGAATTATGCCTGTGTTGTCATTGGTACTATAATTATTGATGCTGTTGCTGTTTATTTTTGAATATTTGGCACTTACTAAAGAATTATGCCCAGAACTGCAGATTTTATTGTATTGTACATTTTGTTGTAAAAGATCATGTGTCCTACGAGAGACCGTCGCATGCACATTTAATGTGTGCATGTAATAAATAATTAAATAAATATAATAAAATGAATTATTATTATTATTATTATTATTATTATTGTTGTTGTTGTTGTTGTTGTTGTTGTTATTATTATTATTATTATTATTATTATTATTATTATTATTATTATGTAATAAATAGCAATTTATTGGCTGGGAATTGTGAAACTGCAGCCCTAAACTGCTAGTAATGTGGCCCCATGAGATAATAAAAAAATGTTTTTTTAAAAAAAGGAAGTTTGTTATTTATATACATTAACTATATTATATATTTTATATGCAGCCCAAGGCAATTCCTCTTCACTCAATGCAGCATAAGCAAACCAAAAGTTTGGACAATCATGATCTAGACCATCTCGAAAAAAAGAGGTTTCTTTATTTATTACATTTTATGCCAGCATCTCCCCTATAAGACAATTCTGGGTGGTTTACAGAGTATAATCTGGGCAGTTTACAGACTGGAGAAAGATGAAATCCATGTTAAAGCAATAATCCTAAAAAAATGTTTTAAATCAGGCCAAGAACAGGAGAGGACAGTACTTTTTTTTAAAAAAAAGTGATAAATAGGTCAACTCTTATGAGTCTTTTTTTAAAGCACACATAAATATACTTCCCCGACCATATACACAAATACTTTGTCCAATCAAATCTTCTAAGATTCCAACCTGAGAATTACACAAAATGTCATTTATAGCTAAGCATTTTCCCCATGATTTATACACATGCAGTATAGTAATATTTCCCAGGATGGTCCAAATGATCAAGATCTCGGGGGTGGGGGGGAGAGATTCCCACAAAGGAACCTAGCAATCTGGACAGGATGAGGGACAGCAAACTAAACCTGGATGAAAACTCTTCCCTCAGAATACTTCAACAGTCTGCACCAGGATGGGCAACCTGCCTCTTCACATTTCATTTCTTGCAACACCCAAAGCTTCCATTGAATTTTAGTGACCCAGTTTCTGAAAACTGACAGCATGGTTCCCTGCTCGTTGTGAAGCAGGAAACACATGGAAAATGTATAATGTAATTTCCAAACAAAATATTGTTTTTTAAAAAAATAATAATATAAATCCAGCTTCTCAAAAACTCGAGAGAAAGAAAATTAAAATCCTCTGTAGACTTCTTCACTCTCCTCGTCTCAAAATTTTTGAAGGTAGCTTATGGTCACCAAAAGGTTGCCCAGCTTTCATTTACCGTATATGGCCATATTGGAGCTGTGGACTTATTGATAAAAAAATCTTAGAATTATCATCCATATGATACCATCCCTGACAAGCCTTGAAAAAGAAGGTCTTCATACTAAACTCAAAAGACGCATGGTGACACTCTCAACAAAGTGTCTGGAAAACAACCATAGTTTTCTTTTCCTCCTCATTTCTGGCAAACAGACAAAGCTTTTCTGCTTAATATGGCAAAAATGACTGTCCTTAAGCAAGAGAAAGAGACAAAAAACACCATCTCTTACCTTCCTAGTTACAGCTGGATCAAGATAGCCTTTTAATTTCTGTATATATGTATGAGGTGGATTCTTGACTTGAAATCTTTCCTGTAAGTAAAACAGTGATCATTAGCCATTAGTTACCAAATATAGTAACTAGTATCTATATAAAGAAGCACGTAAAAATGCTTCACTGCTTTTGTTATTTCTTCATTTAATTCAGGGGTCCCCAACCCCTGGTCCGTGGACCGGTACCAGGCCACAGCATACCAGCAACTGGTCCGCACAAACAAAAGAAGTCCCATCCGTGGGATGCAGACAGCACACAAAACCATGCACTGTCTGGTCCGCAGAAAAACCTTTCTCCACGGAACCAGTCCCTGGTGCCCAAAAGGTTGGGGACCTCTGATTTAATTGATATTTTCTTTATTTGTATATTAGAAACAAGAAAAGCCAAATGCTTTGAAATCATCCTGTAATTAAAAAATAGAAAGAAAAAGAGAGAACAAATTCACCACACTACCACCTCCTGTGCTGATTAGTGAACAGAATAAGTTATGTATTCTGTTAAAAGAGAAAGATGATGAATATTATTGAGGCTATTGGATTGAACTTATGAACACGATATTACAGTTTTGAATTTTATTGTCTTAGAAATTGAAATCGGAAGGGAACAATTTTTCATCAGCTCTCTGTTCACATGCTGACCAAGAATTTGGGGGTAGGAGATATAGGTATTCCTCAACTTACAACCACAATGGAGCCCAAAATCTCCATTGCTAAACAAGACAGTTGTTAAATGAGTTTTATCCCATTTTTCCACTTTTTTGCCACAGTTTTCAAGTAGATCAAATGATTGTTAAGCGTATCTGGCTTCCCCCATAGACTTTGCTTGCTGGAAGCCAGATGGAAGGTTACAAATGGTGATCTCATGACTCCAGGATAGTGCAACTGTCATAAATACATGTCAGTTGCCAAGCGCCCGAATTCTGATCACGTGACCATGGAGACGCTGCAATGGTCCTAAGTGTGAAAACTGGTCATAAGTCACTTTTTTTCAGTGCCGTTGTAACTTCAAATGGTCCCTAAACACATGGTTGTAACTCAAGGACTACATGTAGCCCAACACATCTGCAGAGAACCATGTATGAGAAGACTGCATTACAGCAAACCTGAATTTTTATTCATTTGCTGTAAAAGTTTTTGGTTTCAAAGAGAATCTACCCATCTAGCGCATACAACCAAGAAGAAAGTAGAAGGTTCCTCCTATGACTGAGATTCAGGAAAGAGGAGGGAGAGAACCTTTTAGATACCGCTCCCTCCATCCCTCTGGAGCGTTTCCCTCTTGGAGAGCCAAATAAATCCTCTTCTTCTAGATGGAATGGGACAACTTGCTGTTGCCAACTTGCCTGGCTGACTCAGCCCGGCCATCTTGCCCCAGCCAATTCAGCCCGGCCAACTCACTGTGACCAATTTGCCATGGGACAACTCGCCGTGGGACAATTCAACATGGAATAACTCAAGAGAGGGACAAGTGGATAAATTGCAGCTCAGCCCAGCCTCGAGGACTTCTAACTTGAGAGGGTTCAAACCTAAAGCAAGATAAGGACCCGCTACAATTCACCTGTCGTCCCTCTCGAGTTATCTTGTGTTGAATTGTCTTGCGGCGAGTTAGTTGCAATGAGTTCTCCCGTGGTGAATTGGCCAGGGCAAGTTGTCCTAGGCCCCTCCCTCCCAGAAGGCTGTTGAAACAGAACTCAAAAGAACCTTTGAGCGTAACAATATCGTCTCCAGAGGGCCTAAAAACAACAGCGGTAACAAATTTTAAATTTTTTCTTTCTTTGCATTTGTATTGTGTTTTTTTCCACGTCTATTGTTATTTTAAATTGTAAACTGGAGAGAGTCCTCAGAAGTGTGGCAATGTAGAAATATGATAAACTAACTGTGGTCTACTGACTGTAATGTTAAAACTGATGGACTTCTAATATTTTTCCTAGACTCACATTTTTTAGGACGGTTAATTTGAAAACATTAATTTTAAAAACATGAGAAATCCATTCTCATTTCTTAGAAACTGGAGCCCCTTGCTCCTTGAATATTTCTTAATTTTTAATAAATGTACAACGCGATAACAAGGGAATCCTGATTCTCTATCGATGTATGTCTCTTTCCAATATTGATTGGTAGTTAAATACTTGGTAACTACGACATAGAAAGTTGGGTGTTTCAATAAACCAGGGGTCCCCAACGCTGGTCCGTGGATCAACACTGGACCGTGGCATGCCAGAAACCGGTCTGCACAAACAAGCAAAGCCCCATCCGTGGGATGCAGGCAGCATGCAAAACCACGGCCCCACCAGTCCACAGAAAAAATCTCCCTCCACCAAACCGCTCCCTGGTGCCCAAAAGGTTGGGGGCCACTGCAATAAACTACATGAAAAGAGAAGATTGTAAGAAGAAAGTAGCAGTAAAGTGAAATAAGGAATTTGGAAAATTCATCGATGATTCAAAGTTCAAATGGTTAATTGTATACGGTTTCATTGTGAAAACACACCTTGCAGCTACTCTACCTCAAATGATACAAATGTGGGAATACACACAGCACTGTAATAACTTCTTTTTCTTTTCTGTCTTTAAAATCTATTCTGGGGAAACAGGTGCTTAATAGTTTCCTTCCTGACAATAATCCAGCAGTATATTTTCTTTGTTCTTAGATATATATATATATCTCCTTCAAATGTGGGTCCTAAAGTGAATGTGGGGATACTGGATTGGGAAAAGATGAAACCTTCTCTGACTTCATTTCCATTCCAAATTGTTCACTTCTAAAATACAGCTTGACTGCTAACAGTGTCATTTCTGTTTTGCTATCACAGTGCAGATGTATATATCTGAGATGACAATTTAGAACAAGGAGCTCTCATTCACAGGCAAACTTATTTCTGCAGGAGAAGCGAGATTTACCTTAACTGTAAAAGGAGGAAGAAGAACCCCAATTATTTCACAAAACTATTTCTCTTTCTTCCATAATTGTAAGTATTTCTCAAAATGCCTATCTGAGGTGGCTCCAGGTCTCCAGAGGCCTTGAAAATTTGGAGAATGCTCTTGGGGTGGCCTTGCAGTTTTGAAAAAGAGGGGGAAAGCACACCCCATTCTGTCACAATTTTTGGAGGCTCCAGATGTCAAAACGCTGCTAACATTGGATGTTTTTGCATTGACAACAGATGGAAATGTAGCTATCTTTTACCTTTTGCTTTTAGAGTTAAGATGATGCTGGGAGGGGGGATGTGAACGAGAGTCCAGCTAGGCATAACAACACTAAACCTAACATTATTGCAACCAGAGTTGATAAGGAATTGGCAGGCTGGAGAGCTGGAGAGGAAGCCCAGGCTTCAAGCTAATTGGGGAATATGATTTATGACCGTTAATTGGAGGAGGGAATTATGCTTTGATACTATGTGCTCAGGGGAGGGGAATTCAGTTTTTGGCTTCAATTATGCAGTGCCGATGTTATACTACTCCAAATAAAAATTCTTTAAGATAAACAATGTCTCAAAGTTCGTTTGAAGAGTTTTATCTGTGGGAACCATGACACCAGAGGCCATGTGAGAACAAGGCTCTCTTGTACAAGTTTCAGAGGGTCCAGAGGTCTGGCATATCACCTATGACACACACGTGTCATAGATTCTCCATCACAAATTCTACCCATTCTATTCTGTGATAGGATTCAAAATGTTGAATCGGTAGCTGCTGCTCACACGCTAGGGCTGTAAGTCGTATTAGACTGTTAGAGCAATATTTTAAAATCATCCTCAATGCCATACAGACTCAAAAAGTATAGTGGTGCTTCATTGGCATAACCTATCGTAAACACCTACAAACTGATGTTTGTGAAACTGAGGCATAATTTTTGGGAATATAAAGCTCATAAACTCTAGAACTTGCTTCTAAATAAATCTACATAGGATTTATTTCACCTATTTTGCTCCTACTCAGCAAACATGTTCATGATGACACTCATGAAAGCTTTAGAAAGGCCATAAACCTGAACTAACTCCCACAGTGCAATTTGCTTTCTTACCCCCAGTGGATAAGGATTTCTAAAAGCATATTTTCCTTGTTTTATCTTAATGCCATATTTATAAATTATTATAAATTATAACTTGATTCCCAGCATCATATGTTGGTTCATATATTGGATTTTCAATGCCTGATTAATTTCTGTAGATTTGCATTATATCACAATACTGGACTATAGTTAATAGGTCCTTGTTTTCCATGTCAGTGAAGAATCTCGCATATTAATATGCTTATTTCTATTACATAACTTTTAATACCTATTTCTGTTTGTTTCTCTTAGCTTAGAATTATGATGTCTTTGTTTTTATATGAAAATGTTTATGCAAGCATTTTAATGCAAATAATTTACAGAATGTGGGCTGTACGAATCAAGATCGTATCTTAGCATTAAGGCATGTGAACTAGTTTGTGAGATATGTCAATTTGCATCAAAATGTGACTAGGTGAACCACTTACTGATTAATATTTATATCATCATGAAGACAACTCTACTTTCTTTTTTATTTCCCACAAGACGTAGATAACCGTTTTCAAATGATTTCCAACATGTGTAACTTTCTTGTTTCTTAGAAAACAAAAAAAAATTAAAGGTATAATCCTTCCTGAAGATCAAATTTTTGGAATCAAAACCAGTATGTGGGAAATAAAGCTAACTAGAAAGAGATGCCACTGATTTTTCTCTAATCATATTGAGGGAAGTCAGAGCCCCAGAGAAGGAAATATTAAAAGGGCAGAAAAATATATTTCCTCAAAAGGATTTTTTAAAAGCAGAAACCAACCCTGCCCCCAAGTCTCTGTCCCAAGCAGGAGCCAGTCCTATACAAATGCAAATGTAAAACCATCAGAAAGTTGGAGCCAGAAACTCAAGAAGACAAAGAGACCTAAAATCTGCATACCCCACCCAAACTCTAGGAGCCATTAACCCCATCACCAGGGAAGCAGGATATGATAATAGGATTAAATCACAGATACCAAGGCCTAGAAAAGCACACTCAGACTCAGTTCAAAGTTCATGCCACAGGAACAGG